TGCCTCACTGAGGATGGTGCCTGCTCTATCTCTGGCCAGTGCCTTCTTTAGCTGTTTACTTGCATTTGAGATGTATGTAAAACTTTTCACACGGTTAGTGGATCTTTGCTGAAATGTGTTAGCGTCTAGTATTTCAAGGGGTCACACTTAGTCTGATTGAGATCATCACATTGCCTGGTAGAACAAATGCTGACTATCTGCGACCGGTGCAACTTAGAGACTAGTGTGGGGGTTAGTTTGATGAGGTAGGTCAAACAGAAAGAGGGGAAATCTTCAAAAGTTCTTAAAACCTTTTCTTCCATGGGAATTGTCCACTGGTCACAGACACGTCGGCGAATGATACAAGACATGAAATAACTCGTTAAGGCATAATTGCTTTCGGCATGGAATATACCATTGTAGTTACTATGAGAATGGCCTGTTAAAATTAATTAAATATAAGTTCACGCCTATCACACGGGTCACACATGCTGTTTAAGCTTTGCATTGTCTTTAGTGACAACAATGACAACAGCGTAATGTGGCAGGTGCATTCTAGCTGGTTGATTTCATCATTATGATGCTAATTTGCCCCATCCGTAGTGGCCATTTCTCCATTTTGAATTTTTTCTAGTTTAGTCAAGTCATTTTATGACTCGAATGATTTTCCTTCGTCATTTATTAACTGTTGTTCATTTGCTGTTTAAGTGTCTAAAATTCAATCTGTTCCGTCTGTTTTTTAGGTCGTGGTTCCTCAGGGCCATCTGTTGATTTGTTAATCACGTTACTTTCCATGGGCGTTGATGGATACTTGAACTTGTTGCTGAAACGAAAAGAGTGCTTCGATTACTTGTTGGCGCTACTTTCCAACTGGACAGAGAGTAACGAAGAACGAATCGTGCCTAGCACGAATCCGATTTCGATCGGTTTGTTTTGATTACGTCTATTATTACGTGTTGTATGGCGACTTTTACAGCTGTTTCTCTGAAAAAGCTAGATGAGATATCAGCCAATGGCTCGAACATGATCACTGAACTCGGATCGATGATTTTCATGCGGAACTGTTCTGGTTGCCGGTACGTAGCGAATGTAAAATCAAGATGCATATAGTGTGGTTGCGAAGGCAAACATGAGGAAAACTGTAGAGTAGATGTGGTAATTAGAGCGTCATGCTGTAAACAAAACACCATACTAGGTTTTCAAAAGCTTTATAGTTTAATCTGTGATTTTGTAAGATTTGTTCCTCATGCTGGTGTTTTGTCAGCTATCCGGTGAGTGAAAGAAAATTGCAGCCGTAAAATGCACGCATCAAATAGCGTGTCCTTTTGCCTTGAACACTATGGCCTGACCATTCTGGAACACAGTGCCGTTCCCGTTGTTCGCAGGCCAATAGCGTTTTGCTCATTTCTTGGCTAGTTACACTGAAGCATAGCAAATCAATTGTTTGCTCACTGAAATTAGCAGTTAACAAAGAGATATTAAGCCGCGTTGAAACTTGAACCCCGCACTTCTAAAGTACAAAGCCAAATTATAATTCACTGCCCCACTGCTGCCAAATCTATAGAAATACAGCAGTACTACGTTTAGCAAATAATCTTTTTGCCCTTATCACTTGCCATATTTTGAATATTTCGGTGCGTACAAGGATATCATAAATTCGGAAGTTATATTAATTAGATATCTTTGCAACTATTCGATTGTAATTTTCGATATGTTGATGAAATATCACGACTCCTATGGGTGACAGTAATTTGTCATGAGACTGTACAGAATCTGGGAGCTACACATAGACCTTTATACCATCAGTCTGTCACAGGGCCGGCTGACTGATCTCACTGGGCAGCATCGGCAGTGACATAATGTGACTTTTAGAACAGTTCCTGGAAGCTCTAGTGGTAT